CGGTCCAGGGTTTGAGTTGCCAGCGACCTCCCGCGGCTGCACCTCCGTTGCCGTCATCGCGGGAGTGGGAGACGCTCCACCACGGTCAGCAGTATCTGCAGAAGCCGGCACATCTCCAGCGAGAGAAATTGGATCGCTATCCTTAGCGAAATCGCCCAGAACCTCCTTCACCATAGGTCCGGACACTTGCTTGGAGCCCTGGTGCTCAAACCGTGGTCGAGTCGTGAGGTCCGGAAGGGCCATCCCACCATCCCGTGTCGGGAGCTTTAGAATATCAATGTCTTTCAGAGGCACGCTCGGTTGTCCCACGAGCTCCGGTAGAAGTGAGGAGTGAAGCTCCCGCTCCAACGGCGCCAAGTCCTCCGCAGAAACAGCCATAGTTCGAAACACATAGTTCCATCTGTTGACTAAGCCATGGGTCAACGCAGAGTATGCTGCATGCGGCTCTGATGCGGCATAATTTGCTAAAATCTCTGTATGTTTCGCCCACTCTTCTACTTTTGCCTCTTTGAATTCTCCGAGGAATGCCTCAGTCCCGATAGCAGCGCCCAGATACTGTACGCCACGAGACTTGACGTGGATAGTTGTGTCACCAAAAGTCTCGGCAGCCAAGGACTCAAAGCCAGGCTTGACGAGTAGTTGCGTTTTTGTTTCGTTGATGTTGTAGCCGTATTTTTGGCCCTCTTCCTTAAGGAGGTTGTACCACTTTCGCAATGGGGAGAGCCCTCCGGCAGCTGCCGAGTCGTCTGCAAACCATCCCTGGCACACATCTGCAACATTGGTTCCGACTGACTTGACGAGAGGGGTGAGAGCCGTGGCATAAATGGCCATCGCAAGAGGGTCACCCTGGGTTGTGCCCTCCTGTGACAATAAAGACTGGCCACCACGCACAAAGAGGGATGCAGGGTCTTGGTAAGTATTCAATGTTATTTGTGCTAGCGGGGGGCATACTCGAGCAATATTGTGCAATGCAGCGCGGCGATTCAAGCTATTGAAGGCATTGCGAGCATCGACTAGCAACACTGCCTCAGCCTTTTCCGAAGCAAAGGCCGCCGTCATTGAGTGCACCATAGCCTCCACCCCAGCCGGGATGCCCGTGCAGGCCTGAACTGGTCCGCAGGCTTGCATAATGTCGGGTTTCATCAGAAACAATGCCGCCTTGGAGCACAGTCTACGAAACACTTCACATACCCCTATTGGCCGAACGCCAGGGTTCTTGTTGAGGGCAATGAGTCTGCAAGCTGTGTACGGTGTGAGTGAGCCGGAGGGGACTGAGTCGGTACAGATCAAGCGTGTGAAGCACGCCACTGCCTCACGCAGATCAGTAGATGCACCTTTGTAACATGTGCATAGCCGCCGCCAAGCGTCCGCGTCCAGGCCGGAAGGACCCGCAGAACCATGCAGAGAAAGGGCAGTGCGTTTGATCAACTCACCATTGACGCTGGCGAAGTAGATACTGCTGACATTGCCCGCCTCCTCCTGAAGCAGGATGTCCGGTGCTGCCGGTGCCGACCCCGGATGCTTCCCGACGAGAATTTCACGGACTGACTGGGATTGATGAGAATCAGAAATGATGTCGTCCATGCCCAAGACCGGTTTATCACACTTGGGCTTGGTTGCATTATCCAGCATTCTCAGTGCGCAGTGAACTCGGCCCTGTTCCATCAAGTGGCCAAACTCATGAGCAGGGTCTTCGCCACGCCTGGATCTCCGATTCTGCGATGTCTTGAGCATATGCTGAATAGTTCGACCCTCCTGCACTAGCTCCATATATGAACCCTGGATCCATAAATTTAGTCTGCGACGAGTGTGGTCAGAGCACTCTGCGGCAGGGCAATTCCGACCTACTCGCTGGAGCACCAACGCTGGAAGCAGGAAGAAACGATATAGAGCAGTGGCATCCGCTCCTCGGGACGAATTGAACTTTTGAAGTTCTGACGTGAGTGTCCGAACAAACTCTTTGCCAACACTGCCGGTCGGAGCCCGGAAGAGGTTCTTTTCCCAACTCGCCACCTCCTGATAGATGTCAGCCATGTCAAAAGGCATGGAGACCCGAGGGGTGGTGGGAACTGGAGAGGCAGCGTCCGGCTGGCTCGAGCCAAGCACCTGCGAAAATGGATCCACATCCGCATGACCAGAACCCGTAGCCTGCAAATCGATATTCCCCGTAGATGGGCATAGCTGGGGTTGGGATGAGATAAGAGTGGACCGTGAGTCATCCTCCCCATGCACTGCCTGTTGTACAGTACCTCCAGCGCCCGAATCCACACTCATCAGTGGCGCACCAGAGTCAGATTCCTCCAAACTGGTAAGCAAGTCAACCTGAGATGCTGTCGGAATCAATGCAGTTGCAGCAGAGGTGCCACTCTGAATAATCTGGGGCTGAGAGCTCGGGACCCCAGGCACCGAAGCAACATTACGACAGGTGCCAAGTCGACCCCTCCCAGGATAGCAGTTACTACAAACTCTGCCAGCCCTGACACAAGCGCATCGTATGCACGTACCCCCTGCTTGGCAGCGACAACATGGCACCGCGCTGGCTAGACCGCACTCGACTATGTCACTTGGGGAGAATGGCGCGGAATCAGAGCTGGGATGAATCCCAAGTGGGTGATCTACACGCAGCCAGGAGTCGACATCGCGCCTGCCACTGCCACAACCCTCATCTGCAGATGCAGTGGATTCACCAGAGCTATCCTCCGGTGATATGTTTCGCTGAGATGGCTGGCTGGCTGAACATCCTCCACCACCACTGACCACATTACCAGCGCCAACAGCGCCAGCAGGCTGCGAGGCGATGGATTCAGTTTGGTTGTGACAAAGGCTAGGGGTAGCTCTACCAGGGTAGCAGTCCACACAGCGCTTCTTCGCACGAACACATCTGCATCTAACACATTTGCGACCAATCTGGCAGTTGCAGCACGGCATCGCGACAGAACTGGCAGGGATAGGAGGTGTGAGGATGACTGATGATGATGATGATGATGATGATGATGATGATGATGATGATGATGATGATGGCGAGCAGGACGGTTGTGCTTTGGGGCCCGGCGGAGGCAGAGGCAATGAGAAGAAGTGATTGTTCAAGTATATCAACAACATTATACGTAATGAATGGCCAGATTCTACAAAACGTTTCTTCAGAATTCCCAAACTCCATTGCAGCGCATTTCTCAAGTGTCTTGCAGCCCAGTATGTCGATAAACACAGTGACTTGGCCTACTCGCTGGTTATGGGTCGATTGCGGTGCCTGCTCTCATTCACTTTGCTCCGTTGGGCAGTGACCTGTTTTCTGGGCTGCCGTAGCTCCTACCAGAAAAAGTCAGTCAAGAATTTCAGGAGTTATTGTTTGATGGGTCGTTAGATAGAGGCCGGTGTTTGTGAGACTGCAATCATTTAATGTTTCTTCCTCAGTGGTGTAGGTAGATTCTGTTTTGTAAGCATAGTAGGACTACTTTTGTTTTGTAAGTCAATCTCATTCTCCACGCTTTGCTGTCATTTGGTTATGTTTTAAAGTAGTTTTTATGACCTGATGTTTGTTTTTTATATTTGTAGTTCTATTGTTGACATCTTTTGTCTTTTCTTTGGGTTAAAAGGTTAACTTCATCCTCGTTTTCTTATTGCCTTGTATTGGAATTTGCCCATAAAAGTGGCTACGGTGTGATAATGCATTTTTATATTTCGTGTTTTAACATTATTTTCAGAAAATTGCTCTTACAATACCTTGCGTTTTATATTCATAATATTGTTGCCCGTAAAAGCGGCTTGGTCACATGATGATGATGATGATGATGATGATGATGATGATGATCGCGAGCAGGACGGTTGTGCTTTGGGGCCCGGCGGAGGCAGAGGCAATGAGAAGAAGTGATTGTTCAAGTATATCAACAACATTATACGTAATGAATGGCCAGATTCTACAAAACGTTTCTTCAGAATTCCCAAACTCCATTGCAGCGCATTTCTTGCACTTGAAAACACCGCTAACTCGGCAACAGGCTCTCAGCTGCACCAAATAAATAACTTTGCCAATATTTCGCGCTGAAAAGTTATTTATTTGGTACAGCTGAGAGCCTGTTGCCGGAAGGGCGGTGTTTTCAAGTGCAAAATTCTACAAAATCTTCTTTTTTACTGTACTGTGTCAGCGAAGGATGTACCCAACACCGCTGAGGCAGAGCGAAATAGAGAACAACAAGGACAATCAAGGCTTGTTTGTTGCTACTTCAAGTTTCATGCTCTCACAATCATCAGCCCCCCCCCCCCCTCCCTCCCTCTGTTGCCTGATAACTGCGAGAGTGTGAAACTTGAAGTAGCAGCAAACAAGCCTTGACTATCCTTGTTGTTCTGTACTCTACTGTATGTATGATTTTCAGGACGGTGAGGAAGACAGCCACCATGAGGCTGTGCATGTTGCTGATGGTCGTTGACATCATGCGCACCTTCTTGTAATTGTTTCGTTTTTCAAAGAGTATGTTAGGCAAGCTCTCGTTATTCCTGCACTACTTAACTTATGACCCATACGACAAGTTAGCTGAAAATTGGTATGCTAATTGCAAGAGTACATACTCCCACTCCTGCCATTGATGTCAATCTGTTGCAGTTTTGGAAATGACCATG